ATCTTTCCTATCTCTCTTATGTCGTCGCTCGCTGTCCTAGTGCATCTCCCTTTCTCTCTATACCTTTAATCATATCCTTTTAATCCCTCCTTACCCCCATCCCTTGTGAGCTACTGTTGAGGTGTTGCACGGTGATGCAGACAGTCACGGGGCTCACTTTTCTCTTCTTTTCCCTCTTATAACCACAATCTCAACTAGGACATAATGCAAGTAATTGAGTAATTTTAGAGTGTGGCCGAAGTACTTGTAACCTGTTCATATAGTATAACTAAACCATAATTGGACCTAATTAAGGCGTATACACGGATGTGGTTTAATTTTAAGCAAGTTTATATGCCGTCTCTTGGACCGTGCAGCATCCGTATTTGAATATTCGGGCTCACTTTGACCGAACCCGCTTTACTGAATAACAATCGCACACCGCTTCAATTTTTCGGTTGTTCTATAGTCTGCTCATAGTAAAGTTATCGTTGCCACGTACTACATTATTTCTCCTAAAATAATTAAAAGATTGACAATGTTTTCGGAGGTTGTCAGATTCAGGCCTCACAGCTCTCTTGGTATACGCACTCCTTTCAAGGTATGCCCGTGCGCATGCGTATATGAGGTGCTTATACGAAGCCACATTTCAGTATTGCATAGCGAGACGCGTTTGTCCACGTCCTTACGATGTGAACCAGTGTACTTAATGACTTTAAAGCTTCCAATAAAAATTTAATTTCTTTTAAAAAGGCAACGTCTAAGCGAAGTTTTGATATTGCGAAAATACCGCTTATGGCGAACCGCCCAGGTGTGCACGTGGGTTGACGCCATACGAAAAAGACGCGGAAAGCGTTTTTTTTTTCTCTCTTGTTAGTATTGACGTGACATTGAATAGACGCACTGACAGTGCGAAGACTGTGAAGCCTGGCTCCGTTTCCAAAACAGCGTATACGTCGAAAAGCACCGGCCAACAATAGCGAGTTTTAGCTTGCAATGTATACTTCTTTAAGTTACCGTGTTACCGGACACCGGATAGAACCTGCGCATGCGCGGGTCTTTACGGAACATAAACCTTTACGTTTCCCGCCGGATCGGGTTTAAATGTTTACGTTTCCCGCCATATAGGCTTTACGTTTCCAGCCTGATCTGTCAAATCCACCTTCGTATACGTAGAAACTCGTGGTATTCGTATTGCGGGGACTCGAACCGTTGAGTTGAAATAAACAGAAGTAGCCGAAGTGCGAGTGCCAATGGCCATTACATTGTATTACATCGTGCCAGCCGGATTACCAAAGCTAGAATAGTCTAGGACATTTAGGACTAGTCTAGGAATAGTCTATAGGACAGTCTATAGGACCAATCATAACGAAACACGTGTAGTCGTATTCACATTATGCGTACAGGCGTATTAAACAACTTTAAAAAAAAAGTTTGTTGCGACGGTATACAGGCACAACGATACAGACGGGACCGGGAAATCCGGCTCCATTTTCGAAACCACCGCCCGCGTGAGTCCGAATGTAAACCGTGACCGAGATCGTGAACTTCGTTCCGGACCAAGGAGAAAGCGTGCGTTCGTTCGTGTCCCGGAGGCCCTTGTTTCTATCGCAAGGCGCATTTTCATGACGTGAAGCACACACGTGGAGTATACGCGTGCCGCTATCCACGGTACATGATATGGTACGGTGCGAGGTGTGTATACAGGAGGTATATAGTATATGGTTCTCGACGTACCCCGGACTGTCCTGCAAATGGACGGGCCGACACCACGTTGGACTGGGTCTTCGTGCAGGTTTCTTCATTGCCTTGAGGAGGGAACGAAGAGGCTTATTAGAGCGAGGAAAGAACAAACAAAGGAGACGCTGCCATGTTGTAAATTATGACCAAGGGTGGTGGGTAACCGGGGAAGGGGTGAAAGGGGGGGGGGCACCATAACTAAGAGTACATATAGTCAAAACGCTTGTATGTACCACAAAACATACTACATGAAAATCGAAGCATTAGCTACCAACAATTCAATGGCACTACTGTCACATCTTGTGTCAGGGACACACCCATAATCCTAATTATCAAACGAGCTCTTTCGACACGTTATCTTGACCTTGCCTTTAATTTGATCAAAAACGAGCTTTTCGGCATGTTGTCTAAAGCATGTCGTTCTATGGTGTGGTGCATTTCCGTCTACCCCCCCCCCCCCTTTTTTTTTGGGGGGGGGGGGGTTTCTGGGGTTGTCATTAAGTTGCTAGTAGACGCTTCATTTTCTCTTCACTGTCCGCTCTCACAAAATGTATTTTACACCGCAATCAAGTATACTTTAGCAATCTAAGCACCTGCTTGCGCAAAAAGAAGTGATTTTAGTTTAAACACAGCGCATACTACCCTCCATGGTAGAGTTAACGCATATTCTGGTAGCATATACACTTCAGTAACACTAATCCATGTCATCTCTGCCCCCCCCCCCCCCCCCCCCGTCCTCCCTCTTCTCAGGGAACTCATCTGTGAATGCCTACTCAGTGAAAGAAATCCTGGCGCCGTCCCTGACTTTGACCTTCCACATGCACCAAAGCACCTGCAACGTTAGAGCTTACAAGAAGCGTTTTATCACGCTTGTTCCGTGTATTTCAGCCTCAGACCACTCCAAAAACGCGGGAAAGCTTTTTTTTTCTATATCTCTCCAAAAAAGTGTAATGAAGTACACGATTTTCGTTTGTTTTTATCATTCACTAGGGGAAGGCTTAAGTGGTATTTCTTGTTTTTATCATTCACCAAGTGAAAGACGTGAATTCACACATTAACTACTATTTTTTCTGTTGTATTCAGGGTTGTAGACTATCCTTCTTGGAAACGACGTGGATGTGTGCTGATCTGCGCTTAACGTCACACCCGTAACAGCCGTTCATTGGGAGATATCATTTTTCGTAATTAACGTACGAGCGAAAGCTACACTTTCGTATAAACGGAACATCACATGTATCCAACGAATTGGCACCCCGTTGATGAGTCTGGGCTAACTTTCACATTCACTTTTGCGTTGTTTTTTTTTACAACATATACCGACGATCCAATGTAACGGAACGGACTTGATTGCACCATGCCGCAGTCCACTCTCTTATCTAAGTTATGTGGCGTGCCCGTAGATATCCACATAGTGTTCAACAGCGCGCTTGCAATAGTGGTGCTTATAAAGCCTATAGCTTGTCGGCAGGGGTCTCCGCGGCTATGATACGGTGATTCGGCGCGAGCAACTGTTGATGGCCTGCGTGACCTACATTGTTTTCCGCAGGCGAATCGCTTAGAACGGAACCGATCAATGATATCATACGGCCTGGAATTATCGTTCTCCTTTACAATAGGAAAGCTGAAGCAGTTAAATTAGCTGCAGAGTGGGTGGTTTTATACAGGCTGCTAGATCTTTTACGCTCCAGCGTGGCTTCCGCCCCAAAAAAGAAGTGAAAGAATACAAACAAAAGCGTAGGAAAAGCAAGGTTGTTCTGCAAGATTGGTAATGTAATATGCACCTGATGAGTCCAGTGACCTCCGTTGAGGCGTGCTGTGGTCCCGAAACATGTGTCGAGGTGATGTCTTCGGAGCGTTCTTGTCTGGGACCCTTGTAAAGATCGGCGACTGCCAGCTGAGAGACATGACGGAACAAGCGAGAGACGTATACGAACCGTGGTCAGTTTATGAGAGGGACATTTATGAAGAAGTAGTCTACAGCGGAAGAGAAACGTTCAAGGTGGCAGGTTTCTAGTTTGAAGCGACACGGCCCTGGCCTCCCCTCACACGCGGTAACGCGCGCACCTAATTCAAAAAGATGAGTGAGACCCCTTGCTATCGGCTCCGGCTACGCCACGAGGCGAGCCTGCCCAGTGGTGAAGGCCAACTCGCGCCTCCTTTCTCTCCCGAACGTGCGTGCGCATGCGCACACGTCACGAGCATGTCCCGGGTCAGAGGAAAGGATCAATAGTTCGGTTCCGAGCTGGCTAGACGCTCCGTCGATCCTTTTCCGGCCTTTCTTTCGTTCGGAACTGGTTAATCGCTCTAGTCTCGCTACTACAAAAAACAACCACCTCGAGTTAATTTCCACGAAATGTTGAGCCTGCCATCTAGGCTTTCTAAAAAGTTGAGTGAATACTAACTTTACCAGCAGTTACGAAAAAAATAATGTTTTTAATGGCCTACAGGTAGCGCAACAATCTGTGTGTCCCAAATAAGTGGTCGGTAAGCATGTTATTTTATCGCGGGAAGCGCAGGCCGAGTTTCTGTTCTAACAGTCTAGACAAGCTCCGTGCTTTAACCCCTTTCACTTTCTACGTTTGTTTTGTGCTGCGCTTGACGCATTCGTGCGATGATCAGCGCGGATGTTCTCTGTTGCGTAAGCGTAGAGGGTCTGTTTCCAAATGTTGATTGACATGCCGGCGTTTGAGAGACTGCCGCACCGCATCCGCTTCGCAGAGGGGCACGCAGAGAGAATGCGAGGCTTGCACGAAAGAGACGCGCGGTGCCTCTATTGTTCTTAAAGCATGCAATTTTTCAGGTGTAAACGCGAAAGCAGAAACAGGTGATTCTGGGCGAAGACATTTGATCCTGTGCGTAGCGTGCAGTCGAGTGAGTGGTTTCACTTAACACGACTCTGGCGAAAAACAGGTAATCGTTCCATTCGTCTGCGACTCTGATGTAAGCACCTTGCGACACAGAGTTATTACGTGCATAATTTCTAGAAATATTTATCATGCGTTACAGAACAGCTCGCACGTTATCAAACTGATAGTGCCAACTGATATCTTCTGTCGTCTGCTGTAGAATCAATTGTGTCTAAAACATGGCGGCTGTAACGTATTTCTGGCCATAGGTAAATATTGCATTTACAGTACACAAAAGCACAACCTAAAATTAGTCACTTTAATCTAGAGGTACTCTGCGCGGGTAATGAATTCGAACACTATTGATTATTACAAATAATGTTCAGAAAGACGTGCTGCGCTATAATCACGATAAACATCGCCATCATTGCACAGAGAAAAAAAGTATCATGGCGGCAGCTTAGCGAGTGCGCGTGAGCGCGTCCGTTTGTGAGCTACTTTGCGAGTTTCGAAGTTTAACGAATCTTTACCCCGTTGTTTACCCGTGCTAGGAGCAGCGGCGGCTGCCGCCCGAACACATCAAACATGCATCACAAACTTTTCATCGCCCGCACTGTTCTCGTCCGGAACAACCAAGTCGAAGAAGCACTGCGTGTTCTAAACCGGTAAGCGCTTCTCGCAGGTACCGTCCTTGGGCGAGAAAGCCTAAGAGTAACGGTATTACGTTTCACGGGAAGATATATCGTTCGTAATTTGAAGTGTTTAATCCGCGGCGCCGTCGATTCATGCTGGCTTGCGCTCTTCTCTCCCTCTTTCTGTCAACCTAGCATCCTGGGCATGGAAGGTATCTTCGACCGCTACAGACTCACGAGGTACTACGAGAAGCCCACAAAAACGCGACGAAGAATCAACTACGAAATCTGCAAGGCCATCTACGACGAGGACATGGCTCGCCGGATCCAGTTCACGCTGCGCAAAAACCGAGCCGACCCTTGGCTAGGAAATGACTGAAACTGTTCGGGACGTGTTTCTGACGGTACCGCCGATCGTCTTACCTGCGGTTCCTTCGCTGTTGTAGTTTATAAAGGTTCAGTACCTGGGCTCCGAAATGCGTCGATCCTTAACGGTGAGCACGTTGGTCGCGTGCTTGCGTGCCAAGCGTGGCTTCAACGTCTTCGTCGTTTGCTGACGCTCGCGCGATTCGGTGCGCCTCTTTCGAGAGTTGTTATTAGTTATCCTTTGTTTATCTTCCTCGACAATCGGCGCAATATCTGCCGTCGTCTAGACGGGGCTCTAAGCAAGTTCCAGATGTGACGGCCAGCTTGCACCGCGGTGTTCGGCACGGCGCTCACAGCTGTGCAAACATATCGTGGCTGATTGATTGATTTGTGGAGTTTAACGTCCCTAAACCACCATTTGATTATGAGAGACGCCGTAGTGGAGGGCTCCGGAAATTTTGACCACCTGGGGTTCTTTAACGTGCACCCAAATCTGAGTACACGGGCCTACAACATTTCCGCCTCCATCGGAAATGCAGCCGCCGCAGCCGGGAATCGAACCCGCGACCTGCGGGTCAGCAGCCGAGTACCTTAGCCACTAGACCACCACGGCGGGGCAAAAACATATCGTGGCTGACATTGTGCGTACGACAGGACCTGTTGTGATTACTAGTCGAAACCACACCCCGATGCTGCTTGTTGGAAAACTTGGAAGTGCGAAAAACCTTGAACGAAAAAGGCACCCGCACCAGACAGGCGGGCGCCCATGTTTGGTGGGAGCGCCTCCCTTCAGGGGTGGTGGGGGGCGAAGGTTCGTAGCAGCGCCCCCCCCCCCCTTCTTCTGTCTCTAATCCCCCCCTTCCTGCTTCTCCGCACACCTACGACACCCCACGCGCCGATACATTCATGTACTTGGCCCCGGTGTGGGTTGGCACCGCAAGTTCAAGGATCTAACTACACCTCTCTAGCATTATCTGCCATGTTGGTCGCGGGTTTGACTCCCGGAGACCGCTCTGCGCAGACGCCCATGTGCTCAGATTCGGCATCAGAGTAAAGAACACCAGGTAGTCAATGGCAGCCTGCGTGCTTCGTAGTTGATGGTTTCGGCTCGTAAAACTTGAGCATGTTTCAAAATGAAACTGTCATGTATAACAACAGATACTATGTTTGTTAATAGTGCTGACTCATTGCATTTGCACTTTAAAAGTCAAGGTTGCGTGAAAGCGAAAAATTTCCCATTTGGTTGCACAAAGCTACAATGAAAACTGCTTTCATCTCAAATTCTGGGAACTTTCTCCAAGTTCGACTAATTTGTTGTTGCCTGGCAGTTTCTGCCAACTAGGAATCCTTCTTTGTGCCTGTGCTATGGAAAGGTTGTAGTAATCTTTAATAATAGCATTATCTGGAGTTTTACGTACCAGAACCACGAGACAATTATGAGACGCACTGTACTGGAGGGTTCTAAAAATATTGACCATCTGGTGTTGTTTAACGAGCCCTGACATCACATAGTACCCAGGTAGAGTGTACTAGAACCAGGAAGTGTTCGAAAAGGCCTCAGCGCCAATGGACAAAAACTCAAGTGCGAACAAGGTCAAGCCACTTGTAGTGCTGTGCTCAGTAGTCTGCACTGTGTTGTCGTTCAACTCCCGGGTCGGCCGCTCTGTGCAGAAGAGTTGTGCACGGCTGCTCAAAGTGGTGGAGGGGTGAAGTGCCCACTTTGCACTCGAAAGGCCCAGGTTCGTGGTGCAGCTGTGAATGAATGGCTTTTATTTTTAGTGTCATTTACCCTAGCAGTAGTTAGCTCCAGTGGCTACATATTGCTATCAAAACTAACTTGAAATTTGAAGTAAGATAGAAGAAATGTGATTGATGATCAGGCGTAATACTTTGCAGCTTTACTGCTCAGCATTCAACAAAAGCGGCCTCGGAGATTTCCTGTATTCAGTAAGCATGGCATTCTGCCCAACTACCCATCAACGTAAAGTTATTACATGTCTGAAGAGTAAAACCAGGATGATATTTATGCAAATCTGCACTAGTTTAATTAGCAGTTCTCATACCCGCCGAAACAGGTTAAAGAGAGTACAGCCCTGTACTGTCTGTAGGGAACTTGTACATTCTTACGGGATAGCAGACACAAGAGACGCAAACGTGGATTTTATGAACATTTTATATATTTACATCTTGCTTTGAATTTCACATCTAAAGGCACTTTTAACACAATAGCGCACATGGGGTAACTCGTTTGCTGGCCCGTTGGAAGAGTGCCGGACTGCATTCACAGACAGATGATCATCAAGGATGCAGCGTTGACACATGTACCCTCGTATAATACATACTTGAATGCCCATCAACACCATTCATTCGAACATGTGCGTACATCCATTGAACATCAAGTCGGCAGCCCAGTGTCAACTAAGAGAGCACACAGTGCCATATACATTTCTTATAGTACACATTGTTGACCCCCTGGCACGTTGCATGCTCGTGACCTAGATACACTCGCTTTACCAGCGAGTACTCGACAAACGGCAACAGCAGGGCTTACCTAGTGCAAGGAATATCAACTCTTATTACTATCTTTACATTGCTAATAATAGCCATACGTACATGTCGAGAGACATGGCTGAAAAATAATAGGTCTCTCGCTCTGCCCGTACATGCTGAAACTGTACATAGCCAAGCATTTGACCAACAGCAACTCTCAACGCAAGTACTTTCCAACAGTCCACGGCAAGTAACTGTGGCAAGTAGCTTCAAGTACTTTTTGCCTGTTGTAAGTACTTGTTGCCTGTCGCACATTTTTACAGAGTGAGCCCAAATGTGCAAGATGCTGTGTTGATAGGAGAGCTTGGCACAGCCGGTCTATCTCGCTAAACTGCCCTCATTACTGCCCGATTTTCTTTCGAATTCTAATCCACGGAAGTTTGAAACTTGTTTAGCATAGCACTGTGTTGCCCAGATTGTGAAACCCAACGCCACCGACGACATTTTGTGGCTCTAGTACCACAGGAACCTTGATGTGGTGCTGTCATCTCAAGTCATGCAAAAATGGGCACGCAAATTAACCGACAGTTTAGCGAGAGGCTTCCCTCTCATCAGACAGCCATCTTTCACACGACAATCTCTAGCGATCTTCCCAACACCCAAGAAAAACCTTTGGCATGATCACTCTCCTTAAGGTACTGGTGAACAAAGCATAATACAAGTCGTGCTGAAAAGCTCCGATGATAAACGACAGTGCAACACCACAAGGGCAGAGAAAAACATGCATAACACAAACATGTGAGCACAGTTTTGATCACACTGGAATAAAAAGTTGAGGTCACTAACACACGGATCCATAAGGAGGAATGTATGTGTGCGCTAAACGTGCGTGAGGGCGGGAATGTTTAGCGTGCCTCCCATTCAGGTATTTGTACGGCTTCGCCAGAAAGCAGCGAGGCGTGAGCACAGAAGGGCGCCTTTCCAGTGTTGCACAACATACAACACGGAAGCCAGTTCCCTATTTATTTACAGAATTATGTGCAGCATTGGGAGATTCGTAGACGTACGCTGTAGGTCAGTCTTTTAGAGACTGTCCGTGCGGTCGTATCAGAGCCCGATCATACAGTTGTCTTCCCGTTCGCACTCACTTTCTAGACATGCTTGTCAAGGTAGTCTCGCTAGCACTGTTACAATATTAACGAGATTTGACAGACAATCTTGCAAATCTTGTCGTTGGCATGACTGTTAGATCTCGTCAATATTATGTCTAACAAAGAAAACGAGCCCTTAAATGTACACTTCTTTCCTTCTTAGCACTGTTACAGGCAGTTTTGAAGTGCCACTGGTTTTCCGGTTTGTGCGACAGCATTGATGACGATATTTCATATCTTTTCTTTAGTAGACTTACAATGCTGTGGAACACTCAGCTTTGGTCACACTTTAATCATTAGGAAGCCAGCATTGACTTGCCTATTTCGTACCGAGAGTACATGCATGCTAGTAAGGAAACGCTCGCGCTGGTTTTTTCTCTAGCGTACACAGTGCATGTCGCCTGCTTCAAGTGCATTGAACAACCATGGTTACGTTGGGCTTCGTGGGCACAACCACATTTTCAAACGACTGAAGGAGCCAGCCAGTGCTGAAGGCCTTGTTCCCCTGCCACATTTAGGAGTATTGCATTTGGAAGAATAGTTGTTCCCTTAGTTCTTTGTTCCACCTATAGGCGGATATGCCTCCCTAATCCTCAAAGCATATGGCATTGTTATATACTTTTCATCGAAGCAGCTGCTCCAACTAAGAAACACTCCTAGAGAGCAAGGGCTCACTTCGGAAACACTCCACACTCCTCGAGTAGATTGAAAGTTCTCGATGATGAAGTTTTATGCAAGGGACTACAGAAGAGAGAGAGTGTAGTGACCACTCCATGCAAGAGGTTGTGTGCTGCTTTCGCAATCTCAAAGTAGGCTGAGCGCATTCAGTGCAGGAATATTTAAGAACACTTGGAATTATGCGAAGCTGTGTGGATCCGAGAGGAAGAGAATATGGGGAGAGGCAGCAATGAAGGTGTGTTAATGAAACAACATTATTGCGTGCTTAGTAAGCCTATTTGTTAAAGGTACAGGCGGAAACATTTGCAGAGGACGACATTCATCGAGTGAAGGTGCTCCCTTTCCGCGCGAGCGCATCTTTAATGCAGCAGAACGACGGTGAAAGCCGACGCGAGGTTCGATTTCACCACGAGGAACAGTGACGGAGCGCATTGCTCTTTGTTTTACAACAATATTCTGGGGTGTACCGCCAGGCTTTGCCACTCGTGTTGAGCAGGGGACCACTTGTGAAAGGTCAGCCTTTGAGCCCTTTTCGCCCACTGTAATGTGTGAAGCTCGTAACAGCAAGAACGTAAATGCATCAAGTTTTTGTACAAGACATGCAAGCACCGACACAAAAGAAAAAAAAAAATACAAGGAGCTTGTGTTTGTTTTTTCCCCATGTGGCTGCATTTGCAAACATTTATTCTACAATGAATTCGTACCAACTAGCTGAACTTCCTGTTGTCCTAAGACCTAAAAAAAAAAGCCACATGACGACAGCACGAGCACACAAACGAGGTCGGTAGCTTCAGGAAACAGTCAACTGTTCGGTGTGTTCACGTCGTCTTCTGCACAGGTTTTTCGAGCACCTTACACATTAATGCAATAGACGGCACATTCATGCACTGTTAAAAGTAAAAATCTTGCTCCAAAATAAAAGCGAAAAAAAAAAGTGAATTAAATGTATAAAGCAAAAAGTTTACAATTAAAACTAGGCAGGAGCATGTAACATAACTTTACAATTAATTAAAATGATAATCATGGCAAACTGCCAACCGTGAATACAAAAGTTATAATAATTGATGGGGTTTAACATACCAAAACTATGATTTGAATAGAACACTGCAATGAGAGGCTCTGGAAATTTCGATCAACTAGGGTTCTTTCGACATGCTCAAAATGAAAGTTTAATTGCAAAATATGAATGAGGAAAAATAAAATTTTAGATTGTTCTTAAAATTGCCTGTTAAGGGTATTTCGAGAAAACAACAACACTAGCAGCCGGGGCCGCTCAGTCAGGTCCTCCACACATTACAACTAACTTGAAGGCTCCGACCAGCCAGCAGTCGATTAAAGGCCGTTTGGTACACCAACAATACTGTGTGAATGCTGCCTAAAAACGAGTTCGACAAAACTGTTTTTGTACTACAGAGGCTACGCTTGCGGGGTCATGTGCGAAGGAATGTGGCAGCGGGCACGCCATGGCCATGTCTGGCAACACTGGGCAGTACAACAGGGAGCGCACCAAATCGAGCAACTTTTCCTTTTTGCGGAGTCAGCAAAGGCATCAGCGTGAACAAAGCAGACACGTTAAAGAACACTTTAACACATATTCCAATCGTAGCTCACTCAGTGAAAGTTTGCTCACGCTTTTGTCTTCATCAGCATAATGCACACAGGCTCTGCTCGTCATAAATTCTGCCAGCTGCTCTGCTTAATTGTGCTTTAAGTGCTGGGTAGATGCAACAGCTGCGCATAACATGCGCTTTACGTAAATTTATACATTATTCTCTTGTCCTAAAAAGTCAAGGCGTGCCGACTTTTGTGTGCACCCATCAGACGCTTTGTGCAAAGCATGGAGGTGCAACGCAGACACAGAAATGCATCTCATCCATTTGCTGGTATTCTGAGCAGGCAGCACCAAACGGGGATGGGAAGTTTTCCCACATTTTGTGCAACACATTAGCGACGAGAACAAGCTATAAGCGCAGGGTCGTATAGAGTCTCGTGCTTACTCACTCTTTGGCATCACCTAGCCGTGTCACCGAAACCAAAAGTACACCCAGACGAGGTGTCAAGAACTCCAGCTGAAAACCCTTGCTCTCATCTGCTGGCTCAGACAGTGTACATACAAGACCCGAGTTGGAAGATAAAACTAAAGCACAGTGTATGTTGGAAGCCTTCACTTGAATCGAGTGTTCCACTTTTCAACGTCTCAAGTCTGACTGAGGAAGATGCAATGACAGCTTTCAAATCCAGTACATGTGTCATTGACCACAAATGAACTGCAACCACCATTGCACTCTCCTATGTGCAGATGCCTCTATACACACAGAAGCAGCACAGTGGTCTGAAGTTCTGTATAGCTGCAGAAATGAGATGAAGTGCAGATTCTAATCCATCCGTGCCACTGATGCATCATATTAAATATGACTTATTAAAGAAAGAATGGGAAACACATTAAAAGGAACGAGAAACGTTAAAAGAAACGAGAAACAGTACATATTAGGTCAGCCAAACGGAAAACAATGTGGCAACCAGATCGTCGGGCCCGGCCGTTTGCCTTGGCGAGGCTACTCCACATCCCACGCTGTCCTTGTGTGCCACTTTTAGTGAAAGTGGCTTCGTGCGCCATCCGCTCGCTGAAAACATCTCGGGAAGACGACACAGGTGCTACCACAATGCAGAGGAGCAGTGGACCAGATATTTCGTGCCACTTTTGGCTCGTGCAGACGCCGGAGCACGGCAGAGAATCCGATCACGGCTGCGACTCGCGAGAGTTCACGTGACGCAGCATTTCACAAGAGGGTTCTCTAAGAAGGCAGGGGCAGTCACGTAGCGCACGCCCAGTAGCGTCCCTCGTGTTGGACAAGCACAGCCTCGGGCCAACTGCCAACCTGCCACTCTGGGTAACGGCTCACGTAGTCTTCGTTGCCTCCTTGACCCTGGCCGTACAACAGTCAGGGTAGTCCCTAGGGCATAACCCAACAGGTAGAGGTCAGCCTGTGAACAGGGTGGAAGCAAAAGCTCGTGACACGTTTCCTCAACGACACTGTGCAACACAGTCCGAAGGAGGCCACGATTACATAGGCTTTTATGTAGGCTATGTAGAATTTTGACGAACATAGGCATATTGAAGGCATTGCTGTGTTCAATGCTACTTAAAGAATGATGTTCGATGGCATGCCCAATTTACACAGACTACGCTTTTACTTTTTGCTAGATAATCATTATGTTGCACTTTAGAAATTAGATACAGCATAACCTTGTTAATTTTGAACAGACTCCCAGGTCCCAGCACCACTCAGTATATTTCTACAGGGGGAAGCTTCCGATACTTTGAATATGTTCATATCCACAACAGTTATTTTGAACTGGGACACCCAGGTTTTCACCACTCCTTTCAGAAGTCCGCCCCCTGTGACTATAATGCGTTGCTAAACCCAACAAAACCAAATTTACTAGAGTTGCAAAATAACAATACAGCAGCTTATCGTGGCAGATGAGAATTTGGACGAGCTGCTAACAATGGTCATGAAGTTGCGACAAACTCAACGGAAGTAACTGAACATTACAGATTACTTTTAATTTTAACTAGATTAACTTCCATGAAGATCGCGTTTTGGAGCATAGATTCCACCACATATATATTTAGACATTAAGGCTCACCACCCACGTGAATGCATGATGGTGCTTCTTCCTGACATATCGCTGACTAATCAATTCTGCTTGCAGTTGGACCTTCACGAACTCCATAAACGAAATTGCCTGTTACGGACGTGCAGTAACACCTAATCTGCGATAGAAGAGTCCAGAAGTGGGTTCTTTGGGTTGTGTCTACATGTGACATGATGGTCATTCGAGTGCCCACCCGCCAATTCCAACAATTTTCGAACAAGTTCGAATTGATGAGCTTTTACTGTGTAACGTACAGCATATCACTCCATATTACAATATAATCTTTCACCCTTCCCCTGCGGTGTACAAGCTAGGCTCGTAAACAGTTTGCACTGCTGCTTCTAAACATCCATCTTGTAGCTGAAAAAAAAAAAAAAAAGAAATACTCATACGCGGGATGAATTTCAATTAAATTGTTTTAAATTCTCGCAATTAGCACCTAAAAATGGCATCTTGCTTAGTGTTTGCATGTTTAGTCTATGCCTGCATTCTGAAAAGTAAAAAAGAACTAATTTTCTTAAACTTAACAGTGAAAGGCTCTTGTACAGGTCTGGAGCGAAAATCCGAAAAATGTAGGACTGTGCAGATGAGACAGCATCTGCATATTGTGTACACAAAAAGTTACGACTTACCTTTTCAGTGTCTTAAAGATCTGTTTTCTAAGCAGTTGCGTATTCAATCGTAATGCGCTCGGCAGGTGTCACTTTTTAATCTCATATATGGCAATATTTTGTATACAGAGCTGCTGAAGATTATAAAAACTTCAAAGGGCCACCCACATAAAGCCTTGGTTATGTTCGGCCATTTTACAGTCTGTGCGATTGATTAGGCAAGCGCAAAAATGTATTTTCGGTTATGTTTCGCTTGATAACTCGGAAGGGCAGAGGTGTATTCACATTCAGGTTGATTAGGAAATGTTTTAATTGACAGCCATTGCCAATTAACTGGAAACACTACCTCTGGTACTGCCCGACTTTTGCCAAGCCGGCTGACATGGCTGACCAAGTGCTCCTCCGGGGAAGTTGCCGTGACTTGTGAAAACAGGACTGTAGCAAACAGGGGACAAGGGGCATCACTATCCTTCTGTGCTGCAAACAGCTCCAGAGCAGACTTGAGCATGACAATTTTGACTGCCTCCACGAGCTTCGCATCAAGCTTGGGGTCTTCGTTGAGCTTGCTGGCGAGCAATGCCCCTGGACTCGCTGTCAACCGCAGCTGATCTTCCTGGAAAAGCAAAAGAGTGGGACAACCCCTTCAGTCCAAATTGACGTCATCCAGGCATCGATTAATTCAGTTCAACGAGTATTTGCGAGCTTCCTTACACTTCTTCCAACATTACCACTCTGGGACACTGTGTCCTCGTCTGAAGATGCGACTTGTCATTTCTGTGCACTACTGCTATTGGCAAGTTAGATGGATAACTTGATTGATTGATATGTGGGGTTTAACGTTTCAAAACCACCATATGGTTATGAGAGATGCTGTAGTGGAGGGCTCCGGAAAGTTCAACCACCTGGGGTTCTTTAACGTGCACCCAAATCTGAGCACACGGGCCTACAACATTCTCGCCTGAATCCAAAATGTAGCCGCCGCAGCTGGGATTTGATCTCTCGCGACCTGTGGATCAGCAAGTGAGTACCTTATCCACTAGACCACTGCAGTGGGGCATCAGCAAATTAGAGACAACATATAGTGAGCTGATGGTAAATTGGGCATTATGGTTGCATCAAGTTCCTTTATATCGCTTCTTGGCAAAATACTTTGCTAAAAGCAACTGCTTTGATGAAGGCAGTGCTGTGTTTAACGTGACGATGGATGGGGTGCATTGCCGCAGCAATTTCAAAATATTTTTTTATACCTTTCCGGGATTGCTCACTGCCAGTAGATAACTATGACATGTGCTTTGAGTGGGTTGTTGAATTCAGTTAATGACATATAGCATGACTGACTGTACAATTATAGATACATTATAGCTACATTATAGCTAACAGTGCGAAAAAGTCGAAAGCATGAAGTGGACACGCCACGTCACTGCGCAGTGTCCCCTTCTCGTCTTTTTCGCGCCATTAGCCACGTTGAATCTGCACAAACTCACCCAGTATTCCTTCCTAATTATTTTAGACATTTTGTTTACTTTTCAGTGAGTCAAGTGATGTAAAATACACCACTTATCGTAACACTTCTACTCGATTGATTGATATGTAGGGTTTAACGTCCCAAAACCACCATAGGATTGTGTGAGATGCCGTAGTGGAGGGCTCTTAAAATTTCGATTACCTGGGGTTTTTTAGCACACGGGCCTACAGCATTTCCGATGGAGGCGGAAATGCAGCCGCCGCAGCCGGGGTTCGATCCCGCGACCTGTGAGTCAGCAGCCAAGTACCTTAGCCACTAGACCACCATGGCGGGGCGTTACTTCCACTCGCTCTTGGTCTTCAGAGCCTCGGCATCAAATTATGAAAATTTCATGCAATTATAGACGGCGGATCCTAACGTGTGTCTCGAAGCGTTACGACGAGCATAGAGTCATTACCGCTTCGCGATATCATCAGCTGGTGAAGGAACATCACAGCCTTTTTCTCTTTTTTTTTTTCTGGAGCATCGTCCAGAAAACACCAACTCCTATCAAGCACAATTCATTAATAGAGTAGAACCCCTTTACGAGACACTGATTTAATGGACAACTATAAGACACCAGTGTGCCTATAATGAAATAGGGGTTGATAAAAAAAAGCATAGTACATCTTTTATAAGAGTTACGTCTCATATAAAAGACAGGTATTGCTCCCTGAACATGTCTCTTACTGAAGGGTTTCAACTGTATATACTGAAAGCAAGGTCAATTTCCTCTGTACGAGCCTTATAAGAACAGATTTCCAGATTGATATGCGAGCTGTCTTACCAAGTCCTGTAACGCAGAGAGGCACTCCCAGAATCCTTGCAGAACCTGGGTGTACGCGAGACTTTCGATGGAAGGTCCAGCCGTCGAGCCAGGTCTTGGTGCCCACAGACGCATCGTGGTATCGCTGAAATGCGAACGCGAAACTTGGTAGGTTAAAAGAAGGCTTGTGAGAATACTTGAATTCTTCGAATATTCTAACGAAAAGTGGGGTATTGGACTTCGCTATGAATTTAACTTATTGAAAATTTTGAATAATTAGCAATTAACATCATCATCATCAGCCTGACTACGTCCACTGCAGGACAAAGGCCTCTCCCATGTTCCGCCAGTTAACCCGGTCCTGTGCTTGCTGCTGCCAATTTATACCCGCAAACTTCTTAATCTCATCTGCCCACCTAACATTTTGTCTCCCCCTAACCCGCTTGCCTTCTCTGGGAATCCAGTTAGTTACCCTTAACGACCAGCGGTTATCCTGCCTACGCGCTACATGCCCGGCCCATGTCCATTTCTTCTTCTTGATTTCAGCTATGATATCCTTAACCCCCGTTTGTTCCCTAATCCACTCTGCTCTCTTCTTGTCTCTTAAGGTTACACCTACCATTTTTCTTTCCATTGCTCGCTGCGTCGTCCTCAATTTAAGCTGAACCCTCTTTGTAAGTCTCCAGGTTTCTGCTCCCTAGCTAAGTAGCGGCAAGATACAGCTGTTATATACCTTCCTCTTGAGGAATAGTGGCAATCTACCTGCCATAATTTGAGAGTGCTTGCCAAATGTGCTCCACCCCATTCTTATTCTTCTAGTTACTTCAATCTCGCGGTCCGGCTCCGCGGTTATTACCTGCCCTAAGTAGACATAGTCTTTTACAACTTCAAGTGCACTATTACCTATCTCGAAGCGCTGCTCTTTTCCAAGGTTGTTGTACATTACTTTCGTTTTCTACAGATTAATTTTAGGACCCACCTTTCTGCTCTCCTTGTCTAACTCCGTAATCATGAGTTGCAATTCCTCCCCTGAGTTACTCAGCAATGCAATGTCATCGGCGAAGTGCAGGTTACTAAGGTACGCTCCATTAACTCTTATCCCTAACTGTTCCCATTCTAGGCTTCTGAAAACCTCCTGTAAGCACGCGGTAAATAGCATTGGGGAGATTGTGTCCCCCTGCCTTACACCCTTCTTGATTGGTATTCTGTTGCTTTCTTTATGAAGCACTATGGTAGCAGTTGATCCCCTGTAGATTTCTTCCAGGATGTTTATATATCCGCAATTAACATATATAAATGTATATCAGTCCGCATGAAATTGCGTGTAAAGGTGATGATGATATGTGGGGTTTAACGTCCCAAAACCACCATATGATTATGAGAGACGCCGTAGTGGAAGGCTCAGGAAATTTCGACCTCCTGGGGTTCTTTAACGTGCACCCAAATCTGAGCACACGGGCCTACAACATTTCCGCCTCCATCGGGATTCGAACCCACGATCTGCGGGTCATTGCGTGTAAAGGCGATTCTACTACATTGTCGGGGTTTTAGGTCGTGAAAGCACCTATCCAGGAAAAATCAGCTCTGCGAGCACACGAGCCAAATATTGTAGCGCAGCATGCGACCTGCAAATCGCAATAAATTCTCGAAGTTGGCTAAAAATGGCTCTCTTTCCTCTGTAAATGATGCCACAGGCCCGAAAATCACTCGTCACAGCCATGGCATCAGCGATTGGCTGATGTGAGCATGGGGCGCTCGGACGTAACTGGGGCCGCCACTTGTCCACGCGTACATGTGCGATCACATTAAAAAGTGACACACTCGAAAAAAAAAATGTGGTCAAGGTCACAAGGTGCGTGTGACGTATATTCTTTCACCGTGCCATCACTCCCTGCTTAACTTCAGTGCTTTGATCAAGACGAGAAGAGAATTCAATTGCAGCATGCGACAAATCTTTGCAACTCCGCTCGTGCTAGATGGATTCCAAAATTTTTTGTGGCCCCCCGCGGCAATAAGCTTATTTAGTGAATCCATTCCGGGCTTCTTGAAATGTGTTGCAGGGCACTTTTAAAGCATTTAACCCTCACATCGATTCACCATTTTTTAAAGCTTAAAAGGTTGTTATGACGGCTTATATGCTGCTCCTAGTATAATAAATTTTGAACTGTTAAGTATTTTACAGGTTATCACTTGCATCCTACCAAAAGTCAAATCCTGCTAGTACTAAAAGTGGTTTCAACTTCATTTGAACAAAGCAAACAAACAAAAAAAGGGCATTTGCATTGAGGCCTTATTTCAATTTAAAAAAATATTTGCAGGTTAGTTAGGTCATGATAAATATGCCCATTTTTCTTTTTACGCCATGTATATTATTCAAATTTGATAAAAAATTATTCGACCAAAATCACTATTTGTTCGAACCTAAAATTCAACATTCGCACAAGCCTAGTTAAAAGCAGAGGCATTTTACTTTGCGAAACCTCAGTGGTTGGAAGCAAACAATTTATCTTAGTATCTCAGTAATCAAGGTGCAGCACTGCTGAGCTGAAGACACGGGTTAAATTCACATTCTTGGCAGAGCAAAAAAAAAAAAAAGAGAGCAAGTTTGCGAGAAAGTGTGTTTTCTGCCAGTAATCTCAACTCGACATGAACTGCCACAATATTAGCTTCTAAGGACGCTGCCACCTGTGGCAGTTTTATCTGGGGAACTACTACATTGGTACTAAAGAAGAGTGCACAGCCGTTCATACCTGGTAGACACCATTGGCACCTCTGTGTCCACTGAGAATGGATCCTCCAGATGCCAAAACTTGGAAGCCAGCTGCACGAATGGCGGCGTAGCAGTCATTTTTGATCCGCCGTAGCGACCTCACTTCCAGTCCTGACAGTACAGCTGCAAGGGTCTGAACAGAAGGGGGGTGGTAAAATGGCGGTGCGGAAATTGAAAAGTGATTTAGTGGAAGGTATCACAACAAATGAGACTTACTTCCAGGCAACTGCGATTGGCAAACTTCAAGCCAGCCATAACAGGAGTCGCTTTCATATATACCACACTGATCAAGCATCGTCTCGGGGATGTTGAAACGGTCCATCCTAAATGTCCCTTAAAGGGGAACTCCAGCGTTTTAAAGGGGAACTCCAGCACAGCTTGATTTCACGTCAGATGACATCGCCAACTTTCTTTTCGCACGTCAAAAGAGGCACATGAGCTATATTTACACCCTGGCCAGCTGTGGCGGAGTGTAGCGGATCTCTTCAAGTCATCCAGTCCCCACCATGGATGATGAAGGAGCTCTCTGTTTTGGTTTCTGTATTGACTTTTTGTTTATTGCTTAATTAAAATTATTGATGAGTGCCTTGGCAAAATGCTCTTGCATGACTGTCAACACTATTCCAAAACAGCATTATCTCGGTATGGTCGGGAATGCACCAGAGTTCCCTTCTAAATGTAGAAGTCAGAGAGGCAGCTATGCAGCTTGACATCCTTGGTACTGTGATCAAATTACAAATTTTGCACTTCTTAAAAAAGCCGATGAAAGTCTCGGAGAAGGAGAGGAAGTTGGAGAGAAAGAGAAGTTATGTTTGGTAATGATGAGTGGGCAAAAACTCTGAGGGGATCCTATGACCATCAGAAGGAGCACTTTATCGGTATTTTAAAAGCAGCCTTAATACCAACCAAAGGACATCGAAGTTGGTTGAGATGAGGCTGTCGAAATACCTGCTACTAAACACTACAAGGCATTTCTTCTAAATCAAACATACAGCGACAATACAAAGAGTGATCTGAAGTGAAACATACTTTTTCCATTCCGTCACCAGGCTGTTGCTTCCTCTTTCGGCGTAGCCCAAAGATGTAGTCAGCCAGTGACACTTTGTCTTCAACACAAACTGGCGATTCGGCAGATTCAAAGCTGGAGCCCTCGTTGTCCCTTTCCACATCCATCAGGTCATTGCCATTGGTGTCCATAGAAGCGTCCCTATCACTGCTCGCTGCAAGTGAAGCAAAGTCCGACACACTGCTTGGGCTGATAGTGCTCTCCTCAGGAACAGTGGTCATCTTGTGCACTGAGGAAGACTCCCGCATCACCCATGTCGGAGCGTCGCAGTTCTGTTCCGACTCGGGCAAGCTTTGGTCCAACGGCAGTGTCTGGCTCCGCGCGAGGTTACGCTTCCACGATTCAGATTCTGCGTAGAGAATGCGCTGAATCTCCTCGCGGAGTGTGCCCTTGCTGTGAATGCTGCCGCTGCTGTGGCGACGCACGACGCCAAGCACGCTCGGGCGGGGTGCACCGCCACCATCCTCGCTCTCAGACCACTCGCTGAACGTGCCAAAGTCCGTGGAGTCTGACTCGTGCTGCAGCTCCACCGGTTGCTTTGGCAGTGAAAGCGAGTCCCACTCCAAGCTGGGCCCAGATGAATTTCTGACCAGCCTCTCGCTGTCCGACTCTAGAGAATTTCCAAAGTCGCTGCCGCTGTCTGTACGGATCTCCGCGTCGCGAGTGCTGGCACGGCGGCTGGAAAATTCGTCGCCGCTTTTCTTTCCGGCATCGCCCAGCACAACGTCGTAGTTTGCTGGGAGTTTCTGGAACACGCGGAGGCTGACCAAATCTGCATCGAGGTCAAGCAGCTCTTGCTTCGTGTCGTGGAGGATGGTCTCTATCTTGTCGATGGTCTCAAACGCCTCACAGGGAACCTCCAGCGGCGCCTGCGCCTTTTCAAAGATACTCAAGTCGGACGCTTCGCTGTCCACAGAAAGCTGGTGAGAGTGTGAATTGCGGAGCCTTAGCAGCGCGGAGTCTGAGACCATGCCACTCATGGAGAAGTCATCGGTGTCCTCTCCCTGGGTGTCGGCGCGAGATGAGATGAGCTCTTCCGTGCGCCGGTTGCGTTCGCTTAGCGAGCCGATGCTGAAGTTGGCGAAAAGGGAGACTGTGTCATTTGCCCATGGCGTTGCTGCCTCGCCACCACCTTCATAGGAAAGCGAATCTAGTAGACCCTCAGGCTCTTGGGAGATGGAATCATCAGACAGCGGCGCTCGGTCGTCTACGTTGTTGTTGTTGTTCTTGACGGATGCCGAGATGTCTCCGGACCCGCTGCCTGCCTTAGAGCTCGGGTTCGCCTTCGGATTGTGGTCTGTCTGCCGTGTGCCGGGACTTCCTGCTGGCTTTGCTTTCCTGAAATAAGTAGCAATGTGAGCATGTTCAGAGTTAGATCTACAAGGTAAATAAAAATGTGACGATTGCTAACAAATAGAGCAATACAGGACTATTTTGGTTGATGTTATGGTCAATAGAGGCAACACTAAGTTTCTGTCATTCAATCCCACTTTCACTAAGCTTTAAATGGTGATTGCATACGATTTTTGCATTATACTAGGATCGCACCATCTCATGCATCATAGAAAAATGTGTCGGAGGAAACAGTCGTCTTAGCGTCAAATGTGTTTACGATGCTCAAGTAAAGAACAGTGCTATGCAACAACACTCACTTGTTGCGATGACGCACGCTGCCGCCCTTCTGGTTGTTTTTAGCAATGTTGAGTGGTGTCGAAGCCTTGGGCTGTGCACATCCCTGAAAGCGCACGTCCCCCGACTGGCTATCGAAGCGCACCGGCTCGTAAGGGTTGCTCGACGTTACCCCCATGTCCCAAATGTCGTCGTCACTCAGGAAGCCACCACCGCAGCTTGAGCTGGCATCCTGCGTGTCAGGAGAAGGTCAACGACATTTAGTTTCATTAAACGTCAGATGTGCAACACAGCTGTATGCTCTGGACACATGGATGCACATACTTTAGTCACAGTCTACGCATTCATTCCGGCACAAATTTTATGCAGGAAGCAGAAAGAAAAAAAAGATGGCAATATTACAGTGATGCAAAAAAAAAAAAACGTCATGCAAGCACATCTTGAAACATCACTGCATCATTGAGAGTGTGAAAATTACACAAGTATAATTGTCCAGCACAAAAACAATGACATTTCTCTGACCGTTGAAGTGTATGACTAAAATGTGCAAATGTGGGTGCACAAGACATCCATCAGGAGCTTTGAAGTAAAAAGTAGTACAGTTAAGCCCCTTTATAAGAGGCATGCTCCGAACAGCAATTCTTGGCTTTTATACAAAGTGTCTCTTATAAGAAGGGTAGCTCGTACGCATTTTCTTATCAAACCATATTTACTGAAGGCACACTAGTGTCTCTTATAAAGGGGTTTGACTGTAGTCCAACTTTAGTTTGTTTCAAAATTTAAGAGCATGCGGCCGATGCAAGAAAGTGTAGTTGCAAGCTCAACTCATTGCCGATGAATGCACTCGCTCTTACACTCAAACATCAATATAACAAAGTTGCATCTTACAAGAAAATAAGTTTTTTATATCCAAAAATTCCTTACAATGGGTTTTCCTAACAGTGTATTTATTGCAAGACTATGTTCCATTTACTTTGTTATAGCATATAATTCGTTATGTCAGTCTTCGTTATATCGAGACTTGAGTGTATTTGTATGCTGCTAGTATGTTCTAGAAAGCTGTCGCAGATATAAAAGTGTGTTGTTCACTTCATTCCTACAGGACTGTTTGAACGTTGCCTCTATGCATCCTGCATAAAATTATTATTATGGGTATTTATAGTTTTTTATGCCTCAGAATAACTTCACTAAGATTTCTTATGCACCTGCAGCAGGCCTTAACCTACACCTAAGAAAGTCGTTTAGCTTGAGCGTAGGATGAATTGCAAGTGCCTGGTGGATATTGTGGTATATACTTTTTCACACCAACTCTGCAAGTCATGTGGTATAATTTTCCAAGTATATTACAAGTATATTTCACACTAGACAGGGTTGAGACATCCGTGCTTGTTTGGCCCGAGTTACGTCACATCGATGCATGATGTGTTAATTCTCCACTGTAATGTCATACGCCTTTGATTGTTGTATCACTAACCGGTGTTAACTGTCATGAGAAATCAGTGCCCATGCGAACGCGACTGCTCGCTTCGATCAGAACTTCCGCTTGCTGTTTGCCCAGTACACTAGCAGCAACATATAAATGGTGAAATGACCCATAGCTTCGTGCCATCTCACACTGAGGACAATTCATCAGATACATTGTTTTTTGCAAGATAAGCTGTTTGTTTGGCCATGCCTGCTAAGTATAATGCACAGAAAATGTGACAATGCTTCTTAGAATTAAGACAATACAGTCATGCATTCGATGCCATCGAAGCCTTAGCACATTAATACAAATACAAGTGTCAGTTTGTAATTTACGGGTTACACAGCACACAATGAAGATTTGGTAAATTCAAAACATAGGGCACCAGCTTGAATGGGTGCATCCGTTTTTTTTTTTTTTATTCCAGTTATACCTTCTGTTCACTATACGCGCCCTACACATGCGAAAAGACGCCAAGGAGATGCAGAGCAGACGCCGCGACGTGGATGAATACAAGTAGAGGAGCTAATCACCTTCGCTACTGGCTAAGAGACCCTGCACTGTAGCCTTCACAGTGCTGAAAGGAACTTCAGAGAAGTAGTACAGTCAACATGACCTTATATCCTAATTCCGCGCAAAAAAAGACCAACTCTGCTTAAAACACAAATGGCGCAGTATTGCAGTGATCACGCAATAGCATCGTAAAATAGTATAGTATGATAACATTTTTTTTCATCTTTGATAAGCTCGGAACAAAGTGCATGTTTCACATAATCATCTGCAACTCTTCTCGCTGCAGAGGCAAAACCATTATGTGTCCAGTGCCAGCGATTTTAGAAACACAAGTGCTTTATTTACCTTAATACAAAAGTTCAGCAGTCATTCATTACTATTGGACTAACCAAAAGTGGCAGTAATCTTGCCCAGGTTACGTGTGTACATATACATTTTTTGTACTTCCCTATCGCAGCCACAAAACATGTAAAAATTCTATGTTTTACATGCCCCAAAAGGAGAATACATTGTAAAACATACCGTAGTGGCAATCTATCGAAAATAATCCCAAGACTGCACGGGCCACACAGCGCAGTCACAGCAAAAGCGGGTAGAGCTGCTTTTCTAAAGCTCTGTAGACTCTTGCAACTAATTATAAGTACATATGAAAGGTACCCACTGCTATCAAAATGCTCATGAAGTAAGCAAGCACCCACTAAGTGTTTTCTGCAAAGAACCGTGGTATCCGGTGCTGATCTGTAAGGCAGTATGTGCACTTTTTGCTGTGTCTGAAATGGGTTGGAACTATTCAACAACCGCACATGCAATTCGCATTATTTTAATGCCCAATTTTATGTCACTCTTCTACAACACTTTATTACATGCGTGAAGACAAATTCTTGCCTGACATGACACCTGTATACGGAATTTTCACAAAGGAATTTCAAGCTGCAGCTTGGTGCTGTGGTAGAATATTCAACTGCTTTGGTATGCAGGCAAAGTGCTCAGAAGGCCCGAATTCCAATTCATCCTCTTGAAATATTTTTCTAATTTCCTCTTTCCCAACTACGTGAGATATGGCTCAGCAGTTTTCTGACCATGCGGTTATGGACACCAGTGGCTGTCTGTGAAGAACTGAAACCCGATTCGTCTGTTGTGATCTAGCAACAGCTTGTGCTGTGAAATTCAGACTGCCTGGGTTTCTTGAAAGTGCACCTAAATCTAAGCATCCAGACGTTTGTTCATACCATACTTATGGATCTGCAACCGCCATGGCTGGAAATCAACCCGAAGCCTTAGATAACCCCTAAGATGCCACTGCAGATTAAAAAAATATCTGTGGGCAGAAAATCCTGGTCTGTCATTCCGAAGTAATACTTGCATACTCGAATGAATGCCAAGGGGAAAAAAGTGGACAAGCATAAAAAAGTAAAATTTTCTAAAATGTTTAGTAAATGCCATGCATGCAGAAGGAGCGAAGTTAGTGGTGCACAAGCTTCCCAAGTCATGGTGTGCTGAGAATAGTGCATAAACACAAAATATAAAAAAAAAACGTACACATTTGTTTTCAGCTTGGGCATGCTCAGTCACGGGCTGGGGCTGAAAGGGCAAAGCAGCAACACATTGCAAAGGCAGTTGATTGTATCAGTGAATTATTGACTCTTCGGTGAATGCATCAATGAATTGATCACAGTTTACTTTGGCATTGGTGTCTGCGCCTCCGGAACAAAATTTTTGCTTATAAGCATTCTTTTAGTGCACCTTGCTTCCTGCAGACAACTACGCATGTTCAACAATAACACTATGTCTATAATTATTAAACAGCTACAGATATCGACAAGGTGGTACTGGTACCTGGAACATGTAACGCTACACAAACCGACATTATCTTGGTGCCGCAAAATTTGCAAAAAAATGCTATAAGAAAGTACTTTCAAGTGAAACCTACACATAAAGTTGAAAAATACAAAAAGAAGCATAGATAAAAAATATTATGCTGCACATTTACAGATCCTTCTCAAAGGTAACACGTCTGAAAGGGGAGAACTCGCGACAAATATTTTCACTTTGAGTCGGATGAGTTCTGTGGTGAAATACAGGTTGCTGTGCAACTGCAATGCAGTCCCGTTGTCTGTAATGCAGCAACTATTCTCTCATTGGTTAGACAGCTAAGTGCAACACAGACTCTAGTAGCCAGCTGAAGCACTTTTCAAGAAACAGCACGAAAAGCCATTCCAAGCATCACCAGAAAGCCAGAGCGACTAAAGCACACACTACTGGTGCGTAATGGCAGAGCAGGCATGTGGGTTACACAAGAGCAAGGTAACAAACCGCAGCAAGATGCACTTAGAGCGCATAAAGGATTGCCTAATTCCACAGCTTCACTCACAATGTCGCCAAAAGATGCCTGGCTCGTGTCAGGTAGCGATGCCTCGCTGATCTCGGACTCATTGTCGCTCTCTAAGTAGCACTCCTGCGAGCAGACACGATATTTCTAGCACCAGATGCATGCATAAAAAGACGAATGCTTTCTCACAATACTACATATATTTAAAGGGACAGTAAAGGGAATGTTCAACAGAACAGTGTGGGTAAATCACACTTCTGTATATAAAAAATATTTTTGCCATAGGATGGTATGATAAGCCATCATTAGTACCATGGAGGTGTCAAAAATATCTTGCAATACCTTGAGTAAACCAGCAACATGTATTAAATATAATTTTTGTAAACTCTGAGACATTTCCACATGACCTGGAGAATACGATCTAATCATCTGCAGAAACAACCCCAGTTTCTCGAACTTTTCATTTCAACTAACATTAATTTTCTCTTCACTAAATGTGAAGCTTTGTGTGACTTGACCAAAAAAAACTCCCAAGTTTAATACTGGTGCTTTGAAGCAAAGGCCAGACAGAATTCTCTTACGACCTAGATATCTGTTTGGGCAGTCTATGGGATTCTTAATGCTTAACACCAGCCATTTGCTAATCTCATGCATGCAACAACCTTTTCTCTCCGATCAAGATTCACATAGCAACCGTACCTCTTGCATCACTGCGTTTTTTATAGATATCATGCCAAAAAAACTGGTGGTATTCCAGTTTTTTTTTATTCAAACGAACAGTATGGATTAAAACTTTCCCCTGCAAAGCCTTGCTCAATCTTATAACCACTTTGCATTGAAATGCTGGTTGACGAGTGAAAGGCAAAGGCGGTGAGTCGTGAACACGTGCAGTTAGTGGGCAGAAACTAGGTAAAAGAAACAGCATCAAATAACGGCAAGGATATGAAAAGAAGTAATGAAGCTGTATTTAGTAGTGATTACCACAACACACTAAAAAAAGAGTGATCAAACCATGCCAGTTTGGTATGTCTTTGGGGAAAGCACTCGCAGGAGCAGGCTTACACCGAACAGGTTTTAAAAAAAATTCTGGAGTGGATTTAGCAGCAGATGTAAACACAGGATTTGCCTGGAGATGGCCTCGGAAACATTGGCTTCTTGTGCGACACTCAATCCGCCATAGTGCTTTTGTGCCCGCTAATGCAAATGCTTGCCGAAATAGCGATTGAGAAACTGCTGCTCCCGGCATAAGTAAAATATCTCTGCAAATGCTGGTAATTTGATCTCCACTAAAATTTTCTCTGAGGCTGAAGAAAACCATGAACACCAAGACACTCATTGAGCAATCTTTTCCCACGAAAATTGCCAATATTGACTTTGCACAGTATGCGAGAACAGCTGCTTTTTTTTTTGCCGTGAGATAACACTTCACCATGCCTGGAGTAAAATGGTAGATGCTCGGCTTTACTTTTCAGATATAACCTGCGCTCTAGCAGTTCGTTTTTGAACCACCACATTAATCGAAGGTCGCAAGTATGGTCCCCACCATTAGCAAGTTATATTTTTCTTTAATTTCCTTACATTTACGTCATAGTTAATTGGCGGTCTTGGTTCCAATTAATCTCGGCTTGCACGGGCATACAAAACTTATCACAGTGCACCATAGCTCTACCAACCTGCACTTTTCCGTGTTGGACTCTGGATATCCAGCTCCGCACGTGGGCCTTCCGCAGCGTCGCTGTGTCCCTCTTCTTGCGCCTGCGGAAGCGCTGCCTCAGCTGGCAGTAGAGCTTGTAGCAGACGAAGGAGCCAACGCCCAGCAGAAGGATGACGCTAGTGGTGCGCACTGGAATAGAGAGAAAATAATAAACCTCCAGCTCATTTGTTTAGGCTTCACCTTTATTCTCAGAAAAGAGCAGGTCTCTAGAAGGAGCGTACTTGTGGGCATTTTTCTACACTAACACCATCGTTCGTGCCTGCAGACATAGCCATAGTCAGCTTAACTGCTAAAAATATTGAAGCCATTCGTATATGCCAACTTCAAGATGACTGTATAAACCAATCATTGATACCTCTAACGCTTGAAAGCGTTGAATGTTTTACGCTACTCTGACTCCTAACATCTATGAGCATGGACTGTATGTATAACAGTTTTAGTTGCGAAGCTCCTTTTAGTCTAACCTCCTCACTAATCACACTTAATCGAGAGAAGAAGAGACGAGAAAGAAAAGAAGGCAAAAGAAATGGATGACCATTTCTCGTCTCATTTCCTAGATGGTGTTACTTTGCTGCTGCTCTCCGATTGGCTGCTGCACGCGCTATGCCCGAGTGCCTCTCTCAATCTCCTGGATAATCGCCATACGTGGAGGATCGTTGGTGAGGCATGGACGAAGCAGAGAGGCAGGCAAATTGAAGACGCTTACGCTCGGCCTTCTTGGCTCGTGTTTTGTCAGTGTTACCCCCGTGCCATCTGCATTCTCGAACGCGATTGGCCGCATGGGCGCATGCACGGATGGACGGACACACAGACGGATGGACAGGCGGACGCTTCTCCCCACTCATCATCGTTCATTCCGTGGATATGCTGTGATTTTTTTTTATTGCCCAGACTTTTGCCTTTTCATTTTATTTATCGTTTGGTACACCATAATCTCATCCATCTGCCAGGTCCTAACGTTTTCAGAAATCTTCATGGCAGTCTTGTTGTAGTTTAATGAGAAAGAATGTTTGTATTTGCTGAACTGGTTACTGAAGTGGTATAGGATAGCGGCAACACTGCTAGTGCCTTCTTTTGACATATACAGTGTAGAGGGTGCAGCCTTGCTACTAGCCGTCAGCTGAAAGGGCACTCACTAAATGCATTGTTGTTGGGAAAAAAAAATAGTATTAACTTGTGAAGAACAGCCTGCGCTCCATTTGACAGCGGCACGCAGCATACTCTTTTTCAAACGTACAGAGCACAAGTTGCTCTTATACACAATGTAAAGAATTGGCTCATACAACTGCGCAGTTTTGCATTGCGTGTGCAGTTTTTACACACATGATGTGGGCAAGACTTTACAAGTTCTAGGGTGTCATTTTTGTTTTTATTTTATTTTTCACACCAAAAAAGTTCACGATACGCATATTGTGATTGGACCCGAGGATGTGTTTGTGTAGGGCTTGACAAGGGCATCTTGCTGTAACACTCAGTGCGCCCATTTCGTACCTTAGTCAATTCATTGTATACTGATGACATTTACAGGGGCATCAGCTATGCCCCTGGCTTTTGAAACAATTCATTCTTATGTCTTGTTTTTATTTATAACTTCTCCAAATAATTATTTTGTACATTGTGTCTATTAATATGTCACATGTAGCTTCAAGTTTGCAGAAAAAAAAGTTTCCTGTCTTAGCAATAATACGAAAGTTTCCCTCTAAATTATCCTGTGTGATTTGTTCGCCAAAGCTGCGTAAATAATACGTGTAAGCATGCAACCAATACACTAGCCATACATTTGAGCGAACATTGTTAACAGCTAGTAAAAGCTCTCACGTCGGTGACCTATGCTTACCACAAGGACAAATAAAGCACAAATACCTTTGATAATTACCGAGTGTACAGATGGCCAGCGTTTCCCGTGAATTCTGTTTAGTGTAAAGGTATATAAATAAACTCTGCGACATTTAACACCTGTACACCATTTGAAGAATATGAGCTTACTGCAGTGACCGTGGTCGCTGGTTGCATTTACATAAGGAACGGGGGCATGGGGCCTGTAGATAAGATGCACCGTAAGCATGTTTGAATGAGTACGACACGTGGACATAATGGGTGCTTGAAACCAGGCGTTTACGTGACCCAGATTTGGCGCACTGAATACCATCTATATGACACATTCAAGAACAAGTAGATTCAGAAGATAAACTGCAGCTTTTTAATAAGCCGAGTTGCCATTTTCCAATCTGGTGACTCGTGCAAAAATGTTTATATATACTACAGTTAAGATAGTGGCGATGGAAGCAGTAGACCGTTCGACTAAAGTCTTTTGCTTTCCTTAAACCTGCCTTCCTATAATAACTTACGTTGTGGTTTGAGTAATACAGAACAAACAAGTTATTTTTACTTGTACGTCAACAAGGGGACAATACATATGAATCTCATTGTACTAGAGAGGCGGAAGTGCAGAGCCTTTAGTAAGAGCTGTATATATATATATATATATATATATATATATATATATATATATATATATATATATACACATACATAGAGAGAGAGAGAGAGAATGGCCACGTAGCACAAATTCGGAGTGCTGACAGAGTCGAAAATCTGCGCATTCAGGATAGCTGCCAATGATGGCGAAACAATCGCGTACAGTGTGCGACGCACTGTGCACCTTCACAGCAACTGCCATACGTACAAGATGGTCATTACAATACCCACTTCATCACTGCCACACGCTACTGCACCTGTACATTATTTTGGCCGAAACTACCTTCGCTAACTGTAAAATGAAAGCTCCACCAACTACAATTGCATATTTTCCAAGGCGAGCTTCCTTTTCACGTTTTGTAAGTATATTTCTACAACATGCTGGAGTCATGACAACTAGCAATGTACCATGTACTATGCTAGAGTACATCTGTAACCTCACAACACAGGGCAAGAGAATCGTGGTACATTTTGTTAATCTCCTGTTTATTCTAACAATATCTTGCAAGCATGTCAACACCCACTGCCTCTGTTTACATTTTCCTTTTCACTCTAAGTGTGCCGAATAATTCCGCCTACCTACGTTTTTTTATAATTTGTAAGATATAGCACATTTATGAAGCACCTATGAATTATGAACATGAATTATGAGATTTTGTAAATAAAGGGTTCCAGAGTAATGCTGCTTCATCAATAACACTAACTGCGCCACCGTGCTTCTCCCAGTGATGAGTATAGTGATGATGACCGAATTAACCGATGACTATCATCATCATCAGCCTGACTACGTCCACTGCAGGACAAAGGCCTCTCCCATGTTCTGCCAGTTAACCCGGTCCTGTGCTTGCTGCTGCCAATTTATACCCGCAAACTTCTTAATCTCATCTGCCCACCTAACCTTCTGTCTCCCTCTAACCCGCTTCCCTTCTCTGGGAATCCAGTTAGTTACCCTTAATGACCAGCGGTTATCCTGTCTACACGCTACATGCCCGGCCCATGTCCATTTCCTCTTCTTTATTTCAACTATGATATCCTTAACCCCCGTTTGTCCCCTAATCCACTCTGCTCTCTTCATGTTTCTTAAGGTTACACCTACCATTTTTCTTTCCATTGCTCGCTGCGTCGTCCTCAATTTAAGCTGAACCCTCTTTGTAAGTCTCCAGGTTTCTGCTCCGTAGCTAAGTACCGGCAAGATACAGCTGTTATATACCTTTTTCTTGAGGGATAGTGGCAATCTACCTGTCATAACTTGAGAGACCGATGACTGTACTACTTGTCAAACAAAGATTGACCCTACATGAAACCAATGAGGACCATACTTGTCACATCTGTTTTTATTGATGCTAGATGACCTCAGTTGTCAACATTGTGCCATATCTGCCTAGGCTTTCATTGGATTGTTATTTGGGAAGCCATCTTTAAGCTATTTTTTTCATACAATTAGTGAAATAAAGAAACCATACTAACTAAAGCAATGGTACTGTTTTGATCGAAAAGAAGTTTCCGGCAAATTTGGCACAATTTTTTTTCTCACTGTACGAAAAGGGTTAACCCAAAGATGTCACAGCTGCTTCTCCTCTATCTAATCAGTGAAATGCCAGATCACGAGTTCCACTAATCCTAGCAAAGACATGGGGCTACTTGCCTTCCATAAACTAACAACATGAGTGTTTATCTAAATAGAGGGGGTCATTCTATTCAAAGATATGCCCAGTTTACAACGAGCACAGCTGGGCACATAGGACAGGCTCTTAGAAAAAAAGACGACTTTGCAACCTGTGACCTTATAACGGAGACATTCCTGGTAGCAGTAGCTCGCGATGGCCGCGCATGCTGATACAAGCAGTGCGTTTGAAGCCACAACGGCTTCAAGACATTTAAAACAATGAAATTAATAAATATGCTAGATCTGTGCCCTGTGAACAACATATGTGCAGACACTGCAACATATGCACAAACATAGCCATTGAATTCTGCTCTTGTGAATTATTTATTGTAAAAATAGCCTTAGTGTCCAAATTCATAACCAATCAAAGTCAGTTGCCCTAGAACTAGGTGACATTATTGGACCATGGACAGGCACTGCCTATTTACAAAGGCACTTTTGGACATTTCAAAGACAAAGAACTTTAGTACGTTATTTTGGTGAGCTTTGCATGCGACTTGTTCGTCTCAAACTCAGTACAACACTTCATCAATTCATACCCATTTGGGGTTAGCTCGCTCAAAGCACCACCAGGAATAATGGCATAGCCAAGGGGGTTACAAAGCCCTGAAATATTTAGATTTACGTGTTTACACGTGCGTGCACACTTGTATCCAATGGTCGACAATAAGAAATTGAGCTTGCTCTGACCTACTAGAGATATTTATTTTGCGCTTAGGGCTCAGTCAGACTCGGACTGTTTTCCTAACTGGACTCACTCGGGCTCAAACTCCCAAAGTATTGTATTACTCACCCGGATTCGCTCTCTCGGGTCGAGCCGCGAGACCAGAGTGGGCGAGTCGATCCCTCACTCTCTCGAATCGACTCCACTCAGACTGACCAGTCGGACTCGCTCAGACTCATGGCTCGATCCGAGTGAGTGAGCGAGTCGACTCAAGAGTTCGACAAGCTGTGCATACAAGCGTACATGATGGTTTCGATTTCA